AATGCCCAAGACTAAGCACAGCAGCTTGTAATTTCCTCCCGCCTCAGCAGTGCGGATCGAGGGAAGCTGGAGCCATGTCTGGAGCAGTGGTTCCCAATCTGTGGGACGGGTACCACCAGTGGCACGCAGACAACCTGTCAGTGGTACGTGTTAACAGATTTATTATAATTACCTTATTTGACAAAAAATTGCTGGTGGTACTTAAGGCTGTACTGTTTTAAATTGGTGGTGCGCAATCTGTCAGAGTTTGGGAACCGCTGGTGTGGAGCATGCAAAAGCAGGGATGGCAGGTAGCACCGATTTCATATAAAAAACCACAGGGGAGGTGGAATCCACCTCCCTTTACTGCAGGAAGCCGAGCTGTGCCAACACGACCCACGGCTGCGGGGAGCGCCATGGGCCTTGTGAGATGCGAGGCTGGCCCACGCCCTGGAGACTAGCGGGGCCAGGGCACAGTGCCTTGCGCATGCGTTAAGCTGACGAGCGCAGTCTGTAGAATCTGCTTCTATCTTAGCTTGGCCAGGACAGACTGAACAGACTGAAGCAGCGTCAAGGTGCCTGATGTGAACAGCATCGGGGCCCTGGCAAAGCCATCTAGAGCCCAGGAGATGCCGGTGGTCCATACAGCGCAAGCAAGGGGCAGCTACAGGCACCACGCTCGCCATGCCAAGGTGTTCAAACAACACACCGTGGCAGAGGTGCTGCCAATATTTGCACCGTGCCATCTCTGTAAGCAGATACCGACTTCCCCAGCAAACCCTCATGTTCACAGTGTGGCATCACCCACACTCCGAACGGGAACACGGCCTGTTCCTTTATGTGCAAAAAGCCCAGCTCCCTAGTGCAGATGCAGGGCTGCACATCCGTCGGTTCAATGACAGACCAGCTCTCCCACCTGCGGGGAAGAAAGCAGCCCAGCCAACTGCGGGGAAAAGCGCTGTTCACGCCTGCCTACATGCCGAGACGTGCTGGTGCGTCCGTACCCTGAGCAGTCCTTCTGCAAGAGCTGCAAAGGTCACTGCGTTTGCTAGGATGCCAGCACCTCCGCTGAACTGGTAAACACGAGGGGAGAGATCTGCCGCTCAGCTCTGGCACTAGAAATGGGAAGCGTGACAGGGCACTCGCAGGACATGTCTAGATGACCCAGCAATCCCAGCAGGGGAGCGTGGAGCTCCTCTCACCCTCCTGGCTTCTCCTGAAGCAGCTCGTAGCACAGGCTGCAAGGAGAGCAGGACCATCACCGGTGTCAACCGTGTCAGCACAGCCGGGCTCCACATCCGCGTGCCCTCCAGCCAGAAGAGGTACGATCCTCCTACATTACATTAACCCCTCATTATTTTCCGCCCTCAATTCAATTCTGTGCAATTCAGAGCATTTTAAAGTGAACTCAAATGCCAGGTTAATACAAATCCCCATTTAAGCTATCAAAATCTGTGGACACTGCCTCAGTTCCAGGAGTCTCGTCTCTCCCTTTCAAGGCTCGAATGACTTAACTGTAGCACAATTAGCATGTAATTTGTAAGTCATTATAGTGCAAAGTATCTGGTGAGAACATTTCATTGAATAAACCTGCTGAGCATAATTTTCAGTGGAACTAAAAAAATATATTAAACCATCTCCTGTTTTTTCTTCCCTTCTTTAGAGCTTGCTGAGGCTACTGCCAGCATCTATAATTACGTCTCATTTGAGACCGAGTTACAAGCCAAGGGGGTTCTGCACCTTTTTCCTACAGAAAGGATTAAAGAGCTCGAGAGAGGACAAGATGCTCTCCTCACAAGCCAAAGCTTTGATATTTTCTAGGCTCCGTTTGCTCGAGACTCCAAAGAGCAACAACAAGTACCAGGGATTGGCAGGGCTGCCCGTGCGGACCCTGCCTCTGGTTGCCACTCACTTTGGATGGAAAGGCACAGACCGACCACGTGGAAGCAGGTCCCTCTCTAGCCCACGCCGGCTGCTCCGGCCTCACAAGCCCCCCCGAGGTCCGGAAGCACCAGCACCCCGTTGTACAGAAGGGGAAGCAAGGTGCGGAGAAGTGAAATGACTTACTCGGCCCCCTCTACATGTCACATTCATGCTGTGATTAACATGTTCAATGTGGCATGGATGGGAAGAGGGCTACCGGTGCCCCCAAGTTAAGACACCACATCATGGGAAACGAGCCAGAAAAATGTTCCACGTTTAATGCAGAATCTTTTTATGGCTGGTTTATATAGCGCCTTAAACGTTACATGTGGCCAGGGCTGACTATTAGCCAGGGCCCAGGCTGCAGGGGGGTCTGGAAGGGCCCCAGAACCAACAATCATTACTACTTGCCCTGGCAAACAGTAACAGTGCGACCTGATCCCCATCCCCAAATCACGCCTCCTGCCACGCGTGTGTGCAGCGTGATGAGCCAGACAGGCTTGGAGGCTCTTGGCTGGAAATTGCTGTAGGCAGACAAAGGAGCTGGGGGACACCTCTGCTCGCCCCAAAGATCCCTAGCGAGGAGGGAGGCACCATGGATTTCAGCCCTTCCAGCTGAGGGCAGGCCCGCTTGGGCTGACGAAACCACGTCAGAGGGAACCAGCACTTCTAGCTGGACTTGCACACAGACAGCTGAGTTTGAAGGGTTTCCTTGTCCCCGGAGAGAAGGGTGGCAGGGCAGAGCACACAGAACAGGCCACGGGTCTGTCAGGAACACGCCGGGCTCTAAACAGCTCTACTTCAGCGACACCAGGGGTGGCAACCACAGGAAGGAGGTGGGAAAGTGAAGCAGGGTGAATTCAGCTCCCCACCCTTATGGTGTCGCTGATGCCAGGCCCATGCAGCTTATCTGCAGAGCAAACCTTGCGCTACGGTCTCATCTGCTATGCATGGATGCTGGGACCCCTCCGGCCCCCGTGCATCCTGTAAGGGGCTCCCCAGCTGTCCTGGGCTCACACGCTCCCCGAGCTGGCTGCTGGCTGGAGCAGCACTCAGGGACTTGCTGCCGGTGGAGCCGCTGTGGAAGCCTTTGGGACCCTTCTGGATGAAAGGTGCTCTGTGAGTACACGCGCGGGCTCTAAATAGCAGCTGCCCACGCACAGCTAGGCTCCATCAACATCATTAGTCCTGCTCTTTGAGCTCCAAAGCCCACACATCAGTGCTGGAATGGGAACAATGAATAATGCCTCCCTCTGAGCTGAGGAGGAGTAATCCGGGGCTGGGAAGGGGCTGTCTTGCTCCAGGCCACCGAGTGTGAAGCTGCAGCTGTCCATATGGAGCCTGAGTGCTGGAGGCGGATGCAGCTAGATCCGTCACACGCCCCTGTGCCTCTCTGAGCAGCCACAAAACCGCAGAGCCCTAATGCCCTCGCAATGTTCGCCCGTGCCCACTGCATCGGCCTTGGCATTGAGGAGCTGGGCTGGGCTGTGTGGGGGGGCAGCCCGTGGCACATGGAGCCTGTTTGTGTGCTGGGGAGAGCGGCTGCAGTGATTACTCTCCGTCAGTGCTAATTTCACACCCTCTTCAATGCTGATACAGATAATCTCGTGGGAAGTAGGCCAAAGTCGCTAACAGCTCTGCAAGCTGCTTCCCGACTCCAACGGCTCGTTCTCCCTTTCAGAAAAGTCTGTTCCAGCCTCAGTTCCAAGGAAGCACGATATGGTACCGACGCTCGTGCCGTTCAAAACAAGCCCTGGCTGGCGCTGAGAGTGAACACCAGCCTTTGGCTACAGCCCCATCTAAGCTCAATGGAACAGAAGCTCTCGCAGCTGATCAGAACTGAAGAGGAGGTAGGAGGTCTCCGATATCACCTCCAATTGTCACACCACGGTTCACTCACTCCCCTGTCAGCCCATCCCTGCACCACTGAGTCAGGAACCACTGCTGCTGTGGTTTGAGGTCCTCCTCGCAGGAGCCACCTACCAACCATGCAGGACCTCCAGCTCCAGGAGAGGTCCCAGCTAATCTCATCCCAGCTGTAGGGGCAGGAATCTCCCTTGCCACCTAAATCCTGACACTGCACAAAATGGGAGCGCAGCCATGCTAGCTGCAACGGCCTGGAAATGGAGCTGTTGCTACCAGTTTCCTATCACAGTCTTCCTAGGCAATGAAGACAAGGAGCTCTCCCCCAGTCAGTCCCTGAGAATGTGCTGGCCAGATGCACAACCCAACCAAAGCCATCGAGTGCATGATTTCACAGCGTGGATCTAACCTTGTTTCTCCGAGGCGCTGGTGCCCTGCTAGCAGGAGCTGCGCGAGCATTTGTAATGCCTGTCTGGAGAAGGTTAATGAGACAAGGGAGAGAAATGCTGCTTTGCAGAGTCAGAAGCAAAAGAAAAACAATGGTGTAGCCCTGGCAGGGCAAGGAGAGAGGTGACATTTGCAAGCAAGGGGATAAGTGTGCAGAGGGAGCAGCCATAAGGTAGTGGGGAGGAGGGAGATGGCTGGCATGTTCTCTGCAGCAGAGAGGGAAGTCTTAAGAAGAAAGGTAAGTTTTCACATAGGAATGGGACAAGGTGCTGACAGGAGCTCCATGCCGTGCGGACAACACCCTGATGGCACGGCGCTCCCACTGCACACCGAACAAAGCTGCGCCCATGCAGCCAAGGGAAAAGCGGCACTGGTACCTGCCGAGTGGCGAATTGTGCTGCCGCCGCTGGGGACTCAGCAAGGCTTGGCTGGAATTCACCGGTCTGGCTGCCGAGCGTCTATCAGGCAGAAACATCTGCAGCTTACGGAGATGCTTGTCGTCCTTGCCCAGTGGCAACGTTCCAGCCAGCCCCCATGTACAGCCGCATCCCCATGGATAAGCGCCCTTGCGAGAAGAATGCTTCTCAAGGCAGGCAGGCATTAGCTGATTGCAAGAGGCCAAGCAGAAGGCAGCCAAGCTAAACCATGCCAAATGCATGGCATTAGAAAAAACACAGCTCTGCTCCCGAGAGCGGGCTCAGAGTGGGAGGAAAGGGGAGGAGTTGCTGACACGGGAAGCAATACATACATGTTTCTCTCCTTCAATCTTCTTGTCGGCCACTTGCATCGCATCCAGGTATTTAAAATACAGTTCCATCAGCCGATCCACCTGCGAGGGCACAAGAGAGACAGACTTAAGCCAAGAAAGAACGAGGCATTCGCCACCCAATCCATCCTACTCTGCCGCCTGCTCACAAAAGAAGCCTTTGCAAAGCAGCCGGCAGTTCTGGGGCTCAGGGCATGCTGTTCCTGGGCTCGTGTGGGAATAAGACTGGCCGGTACCGAAAAGCCAGCAGCCTTTATCCCATATGTAATGAAGTAGGAAGTGACTGACCAGGCAAGCGTGCCAGCCCACTGCAGTCCTCCGCTTCCCCAGCTCGGTAAGCACAGCCCTCTGCCTAGCCAGGCTGTGATCGTTCAGACGGCTGCCGGGCACGGCTGTCCTGCTCTCCCCAGTACCAGATTAAACAACTGAACAAGCTTTAAAATAACTAGGGGGAGGAGGGATTTTACAGGGGGGGGACAGAGCCATTCCAGTGAAGATGCTTTCAAAACACAGTGGGAAGTTACAGCTGTTTTCTGTACGGAGGAGCCGGCTCTACCCCGGAAGGGCTGAAGGCACAAGTCCCAAGGGAGTGAGTGATTTGCAAGGGCTCCTGTTTTGCAGAGGTCCTCGCTGGTGGTCTACCATCACGTAGATACTATGGGGCAATTACAGGCAGTTCAACACAGCCGCTAAGATGAGCATGGGTAGAGGAGAGAGCTATAGGCTGGAGGGTAAGAGACAAGACCAAGCACCAAGATATTCCCCACCACCACTGCTCCCCCCAAGCGTCCCCATGAGAACCGATCCAGCGGTCAGGATCGGCCCAAGTCACCATAACGTGGGCTCCCCAACAGCTCCGTGCCAGGGCCCCGGGGTCGGCACAGCTGGGCAGGCAGCGCACTAACCTTCTCGCTGTCGTTCTCGGTGAATTTGTTCAGCAGCCGCGTCCTCTGCTGTCCTCTCAGATTCCGCAGCAGGGAGGCCAGGATGGAGCAGACATGCTCTGGGCGAAGAGCGGAAGATGCACAGGTGGTCACGGGGGCAGGAAGGTCCCTGCCCGGCCGGGGGTCAGAGCAGACAAGGGAAGTTTTCCAAGAGGACCGTGCCGGTGGAAACCCACCAGCTCAAGGCATTTACCGCATCTTCTGCGCTACTCTCATCCTCTTTTGGAATCTTCTTGATACTAACACGAGCGGCACCAAGGACCGTGACACAGGACAAGTCCAGGGTATCTGCCTACCGGCTTACGCTTGCCTTCTGGCAGCTCCCAGCCTAGCTAAAGGCACAGTTGCTGCTCCGTGCTCCTTCCCTCATGGCCAACAGTAATTCTGGACCCGGCCCAGGGATCATTCAGAAGCTGGCACTGCCATGCAAGTGACCCTTAGGTTACCAAGGAGGGAGCAGTTATTAGAACAGGAAAGCTCAAGAAAGGAATAACCATGCCAGAGCTCAGCTCATGCAGAGATTTAATTGGCATTCGCTGGAGAAAAATCCTCAGACCTCTTATTCGCAGCAAGTCCTGTGCACTGCATACGAATACGGCACAACAAACAAAGAAATAATGAGCAAATAAGCCTGTTCTGCAGCCTCCCAGATTCCACGGCTAGGTCACACTTTCCAGGGCACAAACCCTGGAACGCAGCAAAGAGCTGGCTGGCACAGCTGCAAGAGATAATCCGTGCTGATGTTCAACCCCGCTCAATTCCTCTCTGAAGGACAATTGAACCAAGTGCCTCAAATCTGTACTGATTCCTTTCTCCTTCTGTGCAGCAGGCCCCAGCTTCAAGGTGCTCTCCTCCCGTGAACAGCGGTACAGATGTCCCTCAACAGACTGCCGTTCGGGGAAGCCAGCAGAAGAGCAGGGTTTTGTGGAAGGGAGAGCACAGCGTGCATCACAACACTTCTCTCGCTCTTCACAAATGCCCTTTGGAAGCTCTTCCCTGTCAAACAGAATCATCTCCCAGATCCGCGCGAACGCCACAGGGCGACAGCCTCTTATCCGGGCAGCAGGCACCTTCAAGGGAATTCAGCATCTTCCCGGACGGGGTCCCGACTGCCGGCCCGGGAAGGGGAGAGCCTTGTTCTAGGTCTCATCCTTCCTAGGGTGCACCGCGGTGCCTTTTCACTGGCGTTAGGCTTCCCAGGAGTAGACAAGCCAGACTCTCCTCCACTCTGTCTCCTTCGAAGGAGCCCGCTGTGCTTCTGCACATTCACAGGGACAAAAAACTGTGCCTGTTTTTAAGTTTATTCCCAATAAAACAGCTCTCTCTGTTCCTTTGGTGTCAAGGCCTCTGACCATGAAGGCTTGCCTCCTGGGCTCCCAGCACCTTGGCCATCCATTGATGTGTGGACAACAGCAGCTGGAAGTGCTGGATGCAGCCTGGAAGCAGCGGTGCCTCTCGAGAGAACAGAGTGGGGAAGAAGCTGTGAAAACCAGCCACCCCTGCATCGATGCAGTCTCCCTGCAGAGCCCCCTGAAGAGGCAAGAGGTGCAGGTTGGTCCTGCCACCGCCCTGTGCAAAAGCAGCATGTATCAGAGAGGGCCATGGTCTGACTCCAGGAAGGCAAAGCCAAGTCCAAAGACACAGGCAGGAGCTCCCGCCCCTTGCCAAGCCGCTCCTTACCGCGTCCTGCCTGCCAGCATACACCAAGTGCAGACCTCGGGTTTCCGGCATGTCCGCGTGTTCCCAGCCAGAACATGACAACATCTTTGCTTTCAGCTTATTGATCAAGACTGATAAGAAAGAGCCGCCATAAAAAATCTGCAAGCTGAAAGTAGGAAGGAACAGGTGGCAAGGTGCGCGCAGGATACGGCAACATGCAGAGGAGAGGAAATGTCGTCACACTGCCGTCAAAGCAGGTCACCAAGCATTTCCACTGCTCAGCCTAGCCCAGAGCCACGAGAAGCTCCGATCAACTGCACCTCTGTACAAAGAACAGGTGACATCTACCCGTTTGCACGGGGCTTTCACCTGAATCCACAGCTCATCCTGGCCTTAAGAGCCAAAGCCACTTCACCGACCTGTCTCAAGCGGTGGGTCAGCGCCCCCGCCTTGTCCCAAAGGTTAACTGTGCGCCACACACGGGCGGCAAAACCAGACGCGCGCACCCATTTCATTAGCTGCTAATAAATGTAGCTCCCTCGGAAACAGATTTCTGCCTGAGGTAGTGTCAATTTTTCACGAGCCCAGGAGAATGGGAGAGCGGCTGGCAGGAAGAGCAGAGGAGATAACAGGTTTATCTGGTGGCCGGCACCGTTCGGCTGCTCTGTCATTCCGACAGGATAAAACGGAGGTGAAGGATAGCTATGGATACGCGAATGCAGCGCTCGCTGCGGGGAGGCAGCTAACCCACGCACGCTATAGCAAATCAGGGTCTATTTAAAAAACGACAGGGGTTTATAAAAAAAACCCACCCAAAATAAACCTCTCCATTTTCTTCTGATGAAAGGGACGTGCAGGAAAGTTTGAAATGCCCTAAGCTAAGAGGCTTGTTCTGCTGCTTGGGAAGAAAGTCCCAGAGTTCGCTGGCTGCGTTTCCAGCGCCCACCTGAGACTGTTCCTGGGGCCACCAGGGAAGCGACAGTCCTACCAGGCTGCCGGGGTACTGGGGACAACCCCGCGGCTCCCACCCACTCACCTTCCTCCCTCCCTCAGTCAGTGATTGAGCACCAGGACCTGACGTTTCAGGAACAGCACAGCAGGCCACGGGGTTGTAGACAACTCTCAGGCAACCCCCCTGGGTAGCTCAAATCAACTCCAGGACTATTTGGCAAAGCTTTCAAACAGCATCAGGTCTCAACCAAAGTCAGCCTTCCCTGCAGGGAAAGCATCGATTTGGTGCAGAAAAAAAAAAAGGCAAGACTGGAAGCCCCTAGCTTTGGACTCCCCTCATGCCCCACGCACATGCCATCATGCAAGGAGGGCCTAGATACGTGTCCTTGAACAGGTGTCGAGCTCAGCCCCACCAGCGCCTTATCACCCCTTGGACGAGAGCCGTGTTCTAGCCAACTTATCTCCTACTTGCGCAGACATCCGAGGGCCATGGGCCCCTTTGCACATGTATTGGACCAGGTGTAATCAAGCCTCCCAAATGCTAGGCGATGCTACATGTCGTCTCTGCGCGGCGCACGAGGCCCCACCGCCCTCGAGGCAGGCAGCACGTGGTCCCCTGCTGCCCCGGGGATTCCTCCCAGACCCACGGCAGTGTCGAAACTCGAGCCCTCCCCGCACCTCCACAGACAGACAGACTCCAATGCAAGCAGTGTTTAAAATACCCTAATTAGATCGATCTTGACTTCAGCAGCGGTGTGCTTGAATACAGATTAATGCCGCGGCCCCCTGCCGCAGCAGGAGGTCCTGTCAAATCAAGCCATAACATTACACTCCTCTGCTTTTATTATTATTTTTTTCTCCTTTTTTACATTTCATTATAATGGACATCTGCCTAGCAGGGGAGGGAGCTCGCACAGGCAGAGGTGAGCGCAGGCCCCCACCGCCGCAATATCGATGGAGATCGTAGCAAGTGTCCTCCCAGAGGCAGGCAGGGAAGTGAGCAATTCTGGGGGCAGAAAGGGCAATGGCAACCACCTGATGGAAGGGGCAAGTAAAGGGAAGGAGGAAATGGAGCAACAAAATCAACTAAGGGATGGAAAGCTTCTGCAACCTTCCCTAGACAAACGCTGTTTCCAGCGAGGGGCAGTGAAGGGAGTTAAGTAAAAACTCTCTCTCACAAACCTGTGTCTTCCAGACTTTTTCAAGGTAAGATCTGCCCTTGGATCCTTAGCACAGGCTATGGATACGTCCACACTGCAGAGCCACGAGAGCTGGCCCACGGGCTGGAAGTAGCATAGGTACGGCAGCATGCTGCCCCATGCGGGCGAACTCATTCTGCCAAGGGGGCACTGAACCATCCTGCCACGGCCGGGCTGCTTCCAGTGCCCGAGGCCGGCTCGTTTGAAGCTAAAATTTTCACGTGATGCTGCAGTCAGCAGCGCAGACAAACCCGAAGACTCTCCGGCTGGCTATTAACGAGAACAGCGTGTGATCTTAATCTTCAGTTCAGCGATCAGTTCATCTTTAGCTGTCAGAAGGAGATCTAACAGAGGATTATCCCACATTGGAGGCAGTACTTGTTACATTAGAAAACGATCCTGTATGACTGGTAAAACCTCCAAGGACACTTCGCTGTCTGCGGCACCAGACCTCCCGCATGCCCCCCAGTTTGGAGGAAGAATGCCATTTTCTTGCCTATACAAGGGGGCAGAAAGAGCAGAACAAGCTGCTCACCTTGTTCTCCTACCTGCCTCCGTGGCCTCTGCCCTATCTTCCATTTTGTCAGAAAACAAAGCCACAAGCACTGAAGACCACACGCTTCTGAGTCTTCAGTAAAAAGCACCTTTGGTACATGTAGCCTGCCACCTCTACCTTTTCACCAATTCCATCCTGCTACCAGGTTGACCGAATATCAGCCAAGCTGAACTTTCCCCCTACACGGGCATTTCCAATCTTCCTGTTTATTGCCCAGACACCTCCCATTAGTGTATAAACAGCTAAAGAATTCATTTTTGTCATGCTCCTTGACATTGATTCATCATGTTTCTAATGCACTGACTCATACCATCACAAGCTACATGTTTAAGTGTGCTGCTCTCCCCTTTACCGCGCAGTCTATTTGGCTTACCCAACAGAAACCAAAGGTGGCTCTTGACTGTAAGTTCATTCACAACTATATGAAGAAGCAATCTCTTCTACTGAAGGGATATTTAATCTAGCAGAGAAATGCCTGAAAGTCCAATGCCTGAGATCTGAAATTGGGAGGGAAGGGGGGAAATCAAACTGGAAATAAGACACAGATGTGTTCTCACAGCAAGGATGATTAGCCACTGAAACAGTTTCAGAGGATGCAATAGAAATTCATCCATTAAGCGGTTTAAAATCCAGGCTAGAAAGATATCCCATATATACACTCCAATTCAGCCAGGTTTGGGGCTCAGCGTAGTAT